CTTTGTTAACTTTGACTTTCCTGATATTTGGATCTCCCACTGCTGTCACTCCTCTCTGCTCCTGTTTAGGAAAGTAATATTTCCCCTGCATCACCTAAGCAGGGTCCAGCATTCCTCGAAGCATCGTACACATAATCGCTGCTCGGCCTTTTGGCTAAGATCAAGTGTAGACTGTACATATATACCCAGACAAGTATATGCAGTTCACGCAAATGAACAGCATGACCAATATAAAGAATAGCTACTTGTCCTCCAAGATTTCATGTACTATAAACTTAATTTTTTTTTTCCAGCAATTGATGGATTAGGGCGAGAAGGGAGTCTGAAAGAGTACCACTGCAGGGTTATCCGTAATGGACACATGAACAGAACAGGAAACTAATAAATTGAGGAAAATCTTGCTTTAGGCCTGCTCGGAAGGGCAGCTAGAATAAGGCAGAGAATGCATGACAGCGGTGTTTGTAGATACAGACTAGTTCATTCCAGTTGATACATTTGTAATACCAAGGAATGTCGGTTTTAGAGAATGTGATATGTATTGTCTGTATAATCAGCGATTACTAAAGTGTTCATGTTAGAGCTGTGTGTGGGATTGCACTCAGGATACCATGAAGAGCTAAGGTTTGCCCTTCAGGTTCTTGTGGGAAAAACAGAGCTGAAGTCTTAAGATGTGAGCATGAAGCCTGTCACGAGAGCAGAATCATCCTTTGCACAAGACAAAGGCTTACTGAAAAGTCACACACTGGGGTTTAGAGGAGACACTGCAGGGGAAGAAAGGCACACTACTTAACTACACCTTACTAAATTCTATGAAACAGTATGGCTTCCCAATGGGCTGGACACGTGTTCAACCATTTACGCTAAAAGTCCCATGGGACCTATAGGCCAGCTTCATGACAGAATTACAAATCTCCTGACCCTATGAAGGCGGAGAGGAAATGGAAGGCCATCGTTCATTTCCCCAACTCAGAACTGTCAACCTCTGCCTGGCAGGACTGTGGAGACCAACACCTTCCTATCTATAGAAAAGCACCTTTGTCCATTATCAGGCCACAGTGCACAATTTCCTTAAACATACGTTAGCCTACAGAAATTATCCTCGAGAGAGCCCACAGAAAAGGCAGTGTGGGGTCCTGGAGAAAGCATGGGCCTTATCCTTGGACAGCTCTGCGCTCAATGCTGGCACACAGTAGGTGCATAATAAATGACAACCAGTTTATAGTACAGATAAAAGGATGTCTGCTCATACTTCCTCCACCTGATCGCTCCTTCCTAAACATAATCTTTCATCCTACCCAAATTTTCCATGGGACTAAAAATTTCTACTCTACCTCAGTAATGCTGGAGAACAGGAGGCAGCAGGGCATAGCGCTCAAGAATTCAGGAGCTGCAGTCAGTTGCTGGGTGTCAGCATTTACTGGCTCTTCCATTTACTGGCCGTGTGAGCTCAAGCAGGCTAAGTGTGTACATATCGTCTAAGTCTTGCCTGTAAAAGGGGGCCATGACAGTACCTACACCTCACTGGGCTACCGTGAGAATTGAAACAGAGAACCCACACACAGCATTAGCACAGGGCTGGCAAATGAGCATTCAAAACATAATTTATACAATGACCATTATTATTACCCTCTATGACTATTTTTATTTATTATTATTATCATCACTATTATTTTTTCTGAAACAAAATGAGAAGCAGTGAGCTTTACAAGATTAATGTGATGCATTAGGAAAGTTCAACCCAAAGCTTTTATTCATCATTCCCTTTCTACGTGAAACTCCCTGGATGTTACCTTTTAGTTGAGGAAATGAACAACTTTGTAAAACACAGGCATACGACTAAAAATTCACAAAGAAAGATCTAGCTTTTATGTAAGAGTTTTGTATATTGTGAAGGCAACAAAAGGCATTTCAAATTTTCTTAAACTCATAAAAGAATGAGCTGTCGCTGGACTATGCTAGAAAAAAAAAAAATAACCAGATGGGTTTTGGAAAGTCTACCTTCAAGGCAGCAAATGTAATTTAAAGATAGGACTTTCGACTTAAGATATATACATAGAGGGATTTACACTACATGTATTCTTAACAGTTCAGGTCTATGTTCTCTCATTTTCTAGAATCAAATTGGTCATGGAACCACTGCAGTGCACTTCAAAGTATTAATAAAGAATTATCTAGAAGGAAAGAAATGCATTTGGGAGCCATTAAAGTATGTTTAACTAATCTCTAAAATTAAAATGTGAAGTAAAAATTCCATCCCACTCTCCTCCAAACTGTCTTGCTATATTCTGACATTACAGTATATAAAACTGCATACTTCAATATTGAAAATATCTAATATTTCCACCTGAATATTATTTTCTTATTGGTCAAGTTAATACATCCTAATATACTCTAGGAAACTCTAGTTGCCTGAAATTTTTGCTAAATTTAACAGTTTTCGTCTACTAACTTGTACAGCCATGCAAAAAGAAGTGTATATGAAAAGCCTTTCCATTCATCATTTACTTGCTTATTAATTTATTTGGGAATTAAATTTTGTTTTCATAACAACTGGATGAAAATACTGGCTCACATAATCCTCCCTCTCAAGATTGATGTTCCTTCTTTATGAGAAAACAAACTGATAAGTTGCACAACAGAGCCAGTAATGAAAGAATTTGGTAAAACAAGCTTTCTGAAAATAAGAGAACTTATTCTGTGGACATCGGCAGATTTCTAAATATTTGAAAACCCTAAAAGACATTTAACACTAAAACTACATGTAAAGAAAATCCAGTCTTTCACTAATGATGTTGAAGATATTTTAGGGTACTACAATACTACAGGTTATAATTAAAAATATTGGCCATCATTGTATTATAGATACATTTTAAAATGCTGGTTATAACATTCCAGCCAATGAGATGGCAAATAAACTAGCTTTTATTCTACTGGACTGCCTTCTAAGAACTCATAGACTGAGTAAGGATACAATCCTGCTAGATCCTACCAAAACTATAAAAATTCTGAATTAGTAAAATTCGGATTTAGACCATGTCATTTTCAGTCATATATAACCACGCTGGACATATAGAAATCCCTTTCAATAGTACGGCAAAAAAATTAAGGAAGCATTTCTAAAGTGCCAAAGCAAATAGATAACCATTGCATTCCATAATCAAGCAAGAGATTTAACGTTTCCTTTATTTAGTAAAAATGAAAATCTGCCAATTATTGGATTCAATTTACATTTTAAAACAATCAGATGATATAGGATTCTAGGTCAAACCAGTAAATTAATTAATTTCAATTAATTTGCATGGATAGGCAAGTACATGTATTAATTAGTATATGTATTAGTGTTCTATTGCTGCTGTAACAAATTATCACAAAATAAATATCGCCTTGGGCTAAAATCAAGGTTGTCAGGGCTGTGTTCTTCTCTGGAAGCCTAAGAGCGAGTCCCACTGCCTTGCCTCTGCCAGCTTCTAGAGGCTGCCTACCTTCCCTGGGCTGTGCCTGCTTCCTCCATCCTCATGTGACCTAACAGAGTCACATCCAGGATGTGGTCATGTTTGTGTAGCCATGATTTTGCCCACTGCAGTATATCAGATTCATGCCTAACCCTGTAATATTCAAGTCAATATTCACACAGTAAATTAAAATTCTCTATTATTATTATTATTATTATTATTATTAGGAATAAAAATGTAAAATAAACTGATGTTGAAAATCTGGATCAGAGTATCACATCTTCTTTCAATAGACACGTCAGTTTGCCAGCCTCTGATTTCTTTCCATTCATGCTTACACAATTTTGACACCAATCAGCTGATTTGCTACTTTATCCTTGAGTTTATCATAAGTCAGCACACTATAGAGTCTACACTGATAAAAGTGCGCATTAAATTCCCTTAAGACAATGTAACACATATTGCTCATTATATTTGTTATGTGTTATGGCAAATTTACTTATCATTTTTTTACCCTGAGGCTACAATAAAACCTTCATTAGGAAATATTCTTCCGTAAACACTGACTTCACACACAAATTTTTCAGCAAGGGGGATACTGGAAGAGTATACTGTTAGTGTTGGCATGATTTCTGGAGATACCACATGCTGTTTTAGGAAGGATATATAAAGGAAACTCGGCCCAGAGATCTTTACCCGACTTGCCTGAGGTCACACAACTAATCTGAGACACATCTGTCTCTTGATAATAAGTCAGCATTTTTCTCACAATTATGACGCCATTCTCCTCACACATGAACTAGTCAACTACGACTCTTCATCACTTTACCACGTTGTAAATCAAGAGCTTTGCTAACTTACAACTCAAGGGACTGTAGAAGTTGTATTTTACCATTTTGTCCTGTGATAACACATAGACTAAGCCAAGGATAAAATCCTACCCAGACCCTGTGTAAATTATACAAAATTTATTAAATGTTACACAATAAGAAGACACTTAGTATGCAAAAAGGAGGAGCTGTCAAGTTGACAACAAAAATCAAGGATGATAAGCCTAAAGTAATACTGCAGATAGTTTCCATAAGTCAAAGAAAGACTTGAAAATGTTAAAATTTTTCATTATGAAAACACTTTCTTTTTGGTGAATTAAAATGAAAACAGTACAAGCAATTTTGAAAAGAATTTTCTGGGAGAAATAAAAATGGTTTAGAATCAGTGCCTTTTGAGAAACATCAGTATGTCAATAGTAGTTAGAAATTTTTTTCTCACAATATTTTAGTATCTGCTTAAAAAAATACAAAACAAAAAACAGCTAAACACACCTATAGCCCTAACCTAATAAATTACAAATATCATTCTGACTTTTAAACTAATTTCTTTCAAATAGTAACCATATGTATTATCTATATAAATATATAGGTATACAATTTCCTTTAGGTCACAGGAATGAATTTCATTTTAAAAAGTTACAGAGGGGAAAAAGCCTCTTGAGTCATCAACATAACTTTATTTTCTTGATGTCATAAAGGAAAATTAAAATCAACTTACTTGATGTAATAGGGCACTTTATTATGTGAAATGGATCTTTGCCATGGCAGCTGGACTGAAGCTGAGGAAACAAAGAGAGGTTATTGGAAACTGCTAACCCCAAAGCTTTACATCTTAATGCAAAACAACTGAAGGTTTTACAGCAAAGTCAATGAGAGCTGCTCTGGTGTGTCAGCTGGATTCCTATAATTATGAAATCTGCAAGGCCAAACAAAGAGTCACTTTAAAAATTCATTCGAAGCAAGGAAAGAAACAAGACAGGTTCAATTTCTAATGCCACCTCTAACTAATTGAACCTGTTGATAAAAGTACTTTTGAAAAAAAGTCAAGTTTTATTGTTGGTAACCAAAACAATTTAAAACTTATGCTACCTGGAAACTATGCTCTGTATGTATTTTTTGGTTAAGTTAAAATAAAAATTAATTTGATTCAGTTTAAACCAAAATTAATTAATATATTCAGATTATAAACTAGATTCCTCAACTGAATTTTCCAGATCACTAATAACATCTTTACTTTGCTTTATATTCACAGGAATAACTATTAAGAACAGAAGGTATTTAAACAAACTCGATTATATGAATTTAAAAAGGGGAAAATTAAAATAAACATAGACAAAGGATTGTAAAGAACCAAGGCAATTATCTGGATAGAAGAATACCAAATACTTATTTTCATCTGAAATGCACAGAAAATATGTAGTATTTCCTACTTTTCCACTTGACATTACTACGATTAAGATTTTGTTTTGTTTCACTGAGGTACTTATTTTTTACAATTCCAGCTACTCCTTATTTATAAAAATATATTATTCCCACCTTAAATCAATTATTTTAATACTTACTTAAGAAGAGTTGTACATGTGAATCTAGAGCTGTTAAGGATGGGGGTCGGGGGGTTGTTACTTTGTGAGGGGTGTAAAGGATAACTATTGCATTGTTCTGTTCACCTGAAACTAATAATAAAAAAAATAACAATAAAATAAAAAAATAAATAAAAAGAAAATTTTCTAAATAAACTAGTAAACAAGCAAATTCAAATAAAACTTTGCAACTATCCCTAGACTCATATAACCAGTTGTCACCAATGACTTTTTTTCTGAATTTCATGTCATATCAATACCTTACAAATATATAGCATTCTAAATGTTGCAAAGCATTTTTGAAAATATCTATTGATAAGGAAGCCACCAAGATACATATTAAAGTTCCACTTCATCTATGAGGAACTAAATACTCAGAGGTGAAGAAACTTGCCCAGTAAGTAAATGGCTGAACTCAGACATAATCTCAGGATTTCTGACCACTAGGTTCAGCAATTTTTTTATTCAACAATTCTTCCTCTCTTCATAAAAATGTGAGTACTCCCTCCTCCAGCTGTGTCCATGAAAGTATAAAAAAGGGATGAAAATGTGGAACTAGGCATGGTAAATTTCTCGTTAGAGCCAACCTCATTTCAGTGTTGGCACCAGGCTAATAGGTCAGTTTTTATTCGTGCCTGACTAAACAGGCTCCTTTTATACCCATGACTAAAGTCCAAGAAATATAATAAAGTGAAAGATTCCAAGAAGGGATCACAATTATTACACTTATGAATTGCGATTTTGTTTACACTTCTCCATTCATTTTAATCAATGTTCTCATTTGAACAATTTTCACCTCTTTGACTGTCAGTGTTAGACAATAAAATGTACTTGAGTTTCACAATTTTTACAATGCTTCATTTCCTAAAGAACATGAGTTTGATTTTTATGATGAAAGAACGGTTGCTAGGTGAAAGTGTAGGGTTTCCTCAGTATTAACAAACGACTAATCCTTATAACAGAACGATAAATAGAGTCTCAGTTACTTGTTCAGTTCCTCTTTAATTTGGTCTTAGTGCATAGCTTTACATTCTATAAAATTAAGCTTAAGAAATCTGGAGTAATTCATACCAAGAAATAATGAGTAGACGGCAAACCTATTTACTTCATCAACATTGATGGTATCCAAACTTTACAAATCCATCTTGGCACCCAAGTAGACAGTAAATTCCAGGAAGGGCTATAAATCACTCAAAGATAGACCCTAAGGGCTCAGGTGTGTGAAACAGGTGCGGTGGGGAGGGAAGGCTGGAGGGCAGAAGGGAGAGAAGGCCAGGGAGGGAGTCTGAGGGAGAGAGAGCTTGAGCACCAGAGGTGCAGGGCAGGAGGGCAGGAAATGACTGAATGGGATTCTCAGGACTGTCAAAGAAAAGCCTGACTTTGAATTGAGATAAAGCAGATTGCCAACCATGACAATATTAACAGAAAATATAATTTAGTTGGAAGACATGGTACTACTTCAGTTCTCTCTATGGTTAGAGATGCAAAGAAGTTATCATAAGCTTTGCCTTAAGTTTTATACCATCACTTAAATTGAATTAAACAAGCTGTTTTTGTTACATATGTTAGTCAGAAAAAATAAAAGGAAAGGAATTGACGCTGAGTGAAAGCATCTGTACCAAGAACTGTGTTAGGTGCCTTTATGTAACTTGATATGTCCTCTCATTGAATTTTCCAATCAAAGGAAACAGGCATTATTATAATATTTTTAAGATAAAGAAATGAACTTTCAGGAATCACAGTTCCCATAAAAAGCAGAATTAATATTTTAACCTCAATCTGGGTGACACTGAATCCTCCATCCTTTAGTCTCCTCAGCAATGAATGAGAAATAAAGTAGGAGTTCCAATTACTTATTCAAGATCTCATGAACAGCCCATAAAATAAAATTTAAAAAAATTCAGCTGGAGAATATTACATAAAAATCTACATATGTGGTTTGCCTAAATCTGTAATACTTGACCAGAAGGAAAGCTAAATATGATTACAGTGATCCTAATAAACCAAAATCTTCTCATTTAAAGATTTGTGGGGAGTGAAGTTTTACTTTTAAATGTGCAGGTGCATTTTAAACTAATAAGCACATTTTAAGTAGAAAAATTCATTTAAAATCTTAAAATAGAAAAATGATGTATTTATTGTGAAAACATTGAGAACATTTGCAAATGAAATAGCAATTATTATATGATATTATTTATATTAGTTACAACAGATGGTTCAAGTGAAAAACCATCCCAATGACTTTTGCTCATACTTCAAAAACTTATCAGATATGACCAGGTTACTACAAATAATAACCAATAAACAATAGTTATTAATGTTAATACCACCTTTCATATATTTATCTAATATAAATAAATATATTTATAGCAAAATATATTTATATTAAATATATTTATATTTACTTTTTGAGTAAAACAGTATGGTGATTCGTTTGATTAATGAGATCAGTCAAGTTCATTAGTACTTACTAGACAGAAAATGCTGAGAGGATGGTCCGAAATCTCTATGGGCTTCCTGAAGCTGTTTAAGGCGATCGTCCACAGAAACCTGCACATGACACGCAAGAAATAATTTGACTTCAAAACAATGGCTTTCATCATATCCTTGATTTAAGTATTATAATAAATGATGCTACTGCCCAAGACATGATTGCATGTACAGACTCCTTCTGTATCTCTGGAATCAAAACACTGGTATGAAAACAGACCCCTCTGGCACCAAGTAACAGCAAATAGTGCCGGGCACTCTTCTAAGCTATTTATACGAACTAACTCTTTTAATCCTCACAATAACCATACTGGGTAAGCATTATTTATTACTATCACCATTTTCCAGAGGAAGACATTGAGACATAAAGAGGTGTCCGGGACATAAAGTTGGTATGTGGCAATGCTAGTATCCATACCCAGTTCATTTGATGCCAGAGCCTTTAGTCTGCATTGCCTCAAAAGCAGTACAGGCCTGAAGCATCTAAAGTCAAGATGTGGCAATGGGGTCAGTGGCTATGCATCTCTCTCTCATAAGAAGGGTGGCAAAAATAAGTGCCACAGGGAACAAATGAGAAAGAAGTCTAAAATACTCAAAGGGAGAAAAATAAATAAATCGATAGCAAGACAAATGACAGAATTAGATGATAGACAGATAGAGATATAGGATACATATGATTATGGGATATCTTCTTATTTTCCACCAATTTTGTGTCCAAGCACTTGATTGGGGGGTACAGCAGGTTAATATACTCTATAAAATTTGTTTACACACATTGTATTGTTAGCTGTCTCTATTATGAACATGCAAAGAGTTGGTATACTGAGAAACTAACTGCCAATCAATAACAATTGCATACAGCCTATTGCTATTTCCATGCCCTTTTTCCTGGTCTTCTATTAATGCTAGTCAGCTGTTCCACTTAGATTGCCAATTTATTTTCAGCTCCCTTTAAATGAAACGGGTGTATCTCTGGCTCACTGGACAGCTCTAATTTCTCCTGATTAGCTATTTAAATTGTATTAGCAAGTACTTTTCTTTCATTAAGGCCAAACAGCATTCAAATGCCACACTTTACATTCAGGAGGAGAAAAGAAGATGCTAATTCTTTAAAGAAATATAACAATGCTGTCTGCCAGCATGGATTTCCCCTCTCTTATTCAACCAGCAACTAACACTGAGCTCTAGCAGTTAGGAGGCTCAGAGATAAGGATGACAGGGTACATATCCTCTTTCAAGCATAACGTATTCCCTGGCTTCTCATCTTTGGAGACGGTGGTAACAGAAGCAAAATGGGAAAGAAATCAAGATGGACCACAGGAATCCTATATGAAGATGATGAATTAGAGACAGAAAGCAGAAGAAAAAAAGAGTTTAGGTCAAGACACTTCCATGCTCCAGTCCCTAGATCAGCATGTATGCGTTTCACATATCCTGCTTTACTAATCCCAGTTATTAACACTCTTTTCAAAGACAGACAAGACTGTCTGATACTATACAACTCATTTCTTGCCTTTTCAATCTTACAAAGAAAATACGAACCATGGGGTGTTTCAGTGTTTGAATTACTTCAGGAAATCTATATCTTTAAAATAAAATGCTTGTGTGGACCACCTCAAAATTGCGTGTTAATCTTATTAAATATCACATTTAGGCCCCAAATATAGAGTGAAATTAGTAAGAATTATTTTCTCAATCTTTCACTAAAACTACCCTGCTAGTTTTCAGAGGAAGAACATGATTATTATGACTCTTAGGAACTGGCCATTGAAAGTAATAAAGCTTCATAAAGACTGGGCCAAACGCTGGCCCAGTCTTGACTGGTGTGGGTAGTGGCTTGCAAATGCTGATCTCTAGTTATACTTGAGAGGGTTCTTCTTGGTTTGGTTCTATTAAATCTGGGACAAGTAAGTGCGATCTAGTCATTAAAACATGTGCATTAGGGCAGCTAAGACCTCAGGGCTAAAAGTAAAGGCATTGTGGTACAACAGTATAAATGTGCTAGCTGGAAAAAATGAGCGAGATACCTAAATAACAAGCATTTGGAAGAAGAATAGAGGCTCTCTTAGCTTTTCAAAAGAAATAAAAAATATATGATTAAAGTAAGAAAAATGACTCCTTTACCAGCCATTATGGGAAAAATCTTTCTGTGACCTACCACAGGTTTCAATTACTATGATTTATGTGACCTTTTGCAGTTTTCTACAAATATCATATAAATAGTATAAAAAGAAAATTACATTAAAACTTATAAATAAAGGAAGCCTTTGGGTTCAAGATACTGAAAGACCGTTGATGTCAGATGCTATGAATCCATTATCAAATACAACCAATAAAGAAAGAAAAAATGATGGTACATGGTAGGATAGTGAGGTAAGGTTTAAAGGCCCACCAAGGAGTAAGCCTGGACTATGGAGAGGAATGTGCTGATACCTGCAAAAGCTTCCATCGCATGTTAAGGTCATCTAGCTGGCGAGACATCTTTAGAGACGGGTGCAGGTCAAGTGGAGACAGCTGACTTGATAAATCATTCACTGTTTTAACTTTTAAGTTGATTGGTGCAATTTCTTCTCTAAATGCCTAGAAGAAAAGGATAAAAATGATGTCATCAAAGAAGAACACAACCAAAGGTAGTATTTTGAACTTTCCTTCAGAGAAAATGGCAAGATCAGCTTAGAGGCCAACTACAGTTGCTCACTCAACAAAAGCTGACTCAATTCAAGTCTTCTGTAACCAAGACCACCAGCTAAAGAGTAATCCTTTATAACTCAGACGAACTAAAAAGGGGTGTGAGGAGAAAAATTATAATGCAAACTCGTTTAAATGATGATGTATTTCCTTCACATGTTTCATTATACGCAATTTTGTCTGGAAAATGTTTGCCATTATTATCTACTTTACTAATTTCTAGTCTTGATTCTATCTTTAATTTTCTTTCACATCTTCCTTCTTTTTCCTTTTTTAACATGGCTATCTTAGTATTTTTTCACCAGATGCGACAATTCGATTTGAACAAGCTTCCATTTAGAATTAAGTTAGAAAGTGCTCAGTAAAAACAACGTTCCTAACCACAAAACCTATGCCTACTAAATACTCTAGAGATAAGGTCTATCCTTTTCAAAAACATCTGTGATGACTGTCTGTGGTCAGAGGGGGGGGCAGGAGGAGTGGAGTGTATAAGAAAAGAGGTGAATGAAACTTAGAACTGACAAATGCCACATGTGGGCACAGTACAGAGATTTGGCGGGGAGTGTATGTGAAAAGGGAAGAGAAAAAAAAAATTGGGAGCCAATAACATTACTATGTCCTGTGAGAGCAAACAGAGTAATGAAAACACTAAGCTTTCTCTGTTCTGCACATAATTCTACCTGCCTCTAAGTTCATGTTCTCTTTTTCTAACAAAGTCTCTCCCTAGATCCCACTGATCCTTTAAAAGACTCAAGACAGTTGCCCTACCCATCCATCTCATTTCAGAAATGATTTCCCTGAGGCCTTTCTCTCACCGGTTTTACCTACAGGCCCCTCCCATGTGCTTCCCAGCATTCTCTCTGCCTTCTCCAACCCAGCCAGGACTTCCAGTCAGCACTCGTCTGGACACACAAATTGGATTCTATAGTGGAGACCATTCTAATCGTTTGGGGCCATACAAACCAGTTGTTATATATTTCAAATATCATTCCTTATCAAAGCTCTTAGTATTTGGTGATATAACATCCATATTCTTAAAGTCCCCCACGTAGAAAAGAAGCTTCTTGAAAACAGACACCTTGCATGCAGTATTCCATGCAAAGTTTGCAATACAAGAGGGCAGAATTTCCTTCTATTGAAAAAGGCCCACAACAATGATATTTGAGGCAAGATTAAGCCAATATGGAATTGGGAACAGAATTGGGTTCTAAAATAAAAAGAACTGTATTTTTTATTTCTTTGGTACATCTCAAAATTCGAGTCAACCGTGTACCAAACTTACCTTATTTGTATTAGGCGCTGTGAACATAGTGCTAGCATCAGCCCTCAGGTTTTAGCATTTCTATAATCCCCACCCCTTAAGGGACTAGGCATATGCTTGTGAGCCCTTCTTCTCCACGGTCACCTCTCTAAGTTCAGTTAGTGAAATTATATATATATATATAAATATATATATATATATATATATATATATATATATATATATATATATATATATATATATATAAGTGTTTTAAAGACCATAAGGTTTTATTAAAACACTACAAGTATTAATTTGGCTTTCTCCTTATGAGTAACAAAAAAAAACAAAAAAAAAAACAACCCTTTAACCACTTCGCTCCTGCCTTCTCTCTTCCAAAATATTTCTAATTACCCTATATAACGCCTCCTTATATAACATCTATAGGCTAAAAATAATCATTATGGTTGATAAACATCAACAGAATATTAAGACTATAACTTTATATTTTAAAGGAAATTAATTCTAGGTAAGTCAGAGAATATGTTTCAGTATTTCAAAATACTGGAATATGCCCAAAAGCCACATGAAGAAGTTCAAGGTGGAGAGTCAGAAGGGACAGCTCTGGAACCAGAATGAGAGTGAAAAATACAGACTTTGGAGGTAGCAGTGTATCAATGACATTTGAAACAGTGAGCATGAAAGTCAACGTACAAAAGGAAATACCACCAGAATTCTAAAGACTTCAACATTTCAAAATCCGGAAGAAGAAGGCAAGCCCACACAGACATGTGAATTGCTGCAAAATGGAAAAGAGAAGGAATTCAGAGGTGCGATATTCTTTCTCCATGGCTTGCAGATGTTGGTCTTTAGGGCATGACAGAAAGTGCACACACACACAGATGCACCAGCATAGTTCAATGAGAAAAGCAGTTATACACGTAACGAAGACATTTTGTTAACATAACATAGGTCTAACAAATTAATAATTGAAATAGAAGTATAGGACATAGAAAAGTGGGAGTTCGGGTGGGGAAAGAGAATTTTTCAGCCCGGACTTGGGAGAGACCTGACCTCCTTAAAATTCAGTTTGAGAATAATTACAGAACTCAAATCTTTCAAGGTTTCTTCAGCTATGATTTTAATATTATCCATTAATATTTTCTCCTTGAGTACCTTGGAGGACTTGAGAATTTTAATCAACTTTTAAAATCAATGTCTTTGTGAAATACCAAAATGGAGGTATTCAAGATTAAAAAATGAGGTGCTAGAAAATGTTTTCAGATTTATATGCTCTTAAATAACCAGTTTTCTTTCAAAACTTGAAAAAAAATCTTTAATTCCACTGAACTATAAGACAGATTTTTAAAATCTTCCAGAGTAATAAAGGAGCTTTAACTTTTCCTCTATAAAATTAATGTTTTTCTCTTACAAGCCACACATGAAAACTTTAAAAGATCTTTAACAAACAAGATCTGTAGGTTTTGTTTTTGTTTGTGTGGTCACATGTTTTATGGCAACAAGAAATCTATTAAGAAAGTTTATCTTTGGATTTTTAAGAGCTTCCGAACTAAGGGACTTGAAATAAAGCAAGTTTTAAAATGATTTCGGATCTTCCATGTGTTCTAGTAGAAAGAAGCAATTTATCATGTTTTGGCTGCACGTTCCTATAGAGGAATAAAAGTCTACGCAGTCTTCCCTGCTGCAAAAACAGAAACATCTGTTAGTGTTAAAGGCGCTGACGGGCAGCCTGGTGGCAGATATAAATCCCAAACCTATCTCCTGTCAGGAGGCGTGTACTCTGCAAATAAGAATCACTGAGGATAATTTGGGGCAGTTACAATTATTGGATGACCCCAAAGATTTTGTTTCCCAGTTGCTTTGGCACATTTAATAATATTTAGCAATCATCAGTGCTTATTTTCATCTGCCTAGAGCTCCCATGGGACTTGGGGTATACTTTAGAACACGTGTAACACACCCCAGAGTTTGAGTCCATTTTATTTGGTTTAATGAAATTTGGGCTTTTATTGTCTTTTTTCCTAACAAGATGCTAAAAATATTTTAATTCACAGCTTATTCCTTTCTCTTAAATGTTAATTGTACTTTTCCTAGCTTTCCACTTTAGCAGAGATTTGAACAAAAGGAGTGAGATGCAAAGGTGGATAATTTCCTTAATCAAGTGGGATTAACAAGTCTAAAACTTTTTGGCTTTTAATAACCCCAGATACAACTTTTCAGTTTTTATCTATCCTGATCATCCTGTATTAAAAGTGGACACTTTCGAATTCAAATGGATAAACTCTTGCCAAGACCATAAGGCATTTTGCAGTTCAAAAGAACATACTTCTTATAAACCACTGACTTAAAGATCTGTGTTTAAAACCATATTTTAAAATATAAGAAGTATGTAACTTCCAAAGTAGCTTTATTTTCTATTGGTTATTTTAAACTCAGATCCATCCATGGAGATGGTTTTTAGAATACGAGAGTTGTAGGAAGAAAACTAGTTAATTCACAGGGTAGCTGAAAACTTATGTATATATTTAAAATGAAAGACGGCAGGTACGAACACTTTTTTAGTAATAATATTTTTTAAGTCTATAATTTAATATGTAACTTTTAAACCTTTGAATTCTAATAGTTAATTAAAATTGTGCTTAATAACATTATGATGAATGAGGTCTCTGTGATGAAAGAAAAGAGTTGAAAGAAATCCTAAAATCTCTACCACTTACTAGCTGTGTGGGCTTGGGCAATGTCTTTAGTTTCATCATTTGTAAAATGGGCACAATAATAATACCTATCTTCTTAGGTTAGTGTGAGGATTAAAAGAGATATCCACGTAAACTAGCTAAGAACAGTTCTTGGTACACAGTAAGCCTCAATAAATGCTAGCTATTATATTATTCCTATGTCTACACATACATGTATTTCCTCATGTAATTTGCCTATGTATTCAATTAATTTCCTAGGCCTTGCTTCTCTTCCCATCAGCCATATGCAGACATATTAATACCAAGGGAGAGTGTTATCCAATATCAGTGCACAAAACAGGTACATCTTTTGCAATAAAAATCCCATTCATGATAGCTATTGTCAATCTAACACCTGCTGATGTTTTCACTGGTTTATTTTTAGATTTGATTGATGACTACCTAGTACATAGTTTACTATGCTATTATAAACCCCACTACCTGTTAAAGCTGTTATTTGCATCTCTTATTGCCCAAATTCCATTAACTTTTTTTTTCTGGATATGTTCTGGAATACGGGAACCAAAGGGGGTCTAGAAGGTAGGTCTAACATCCTTAACTTTGGGCAATTCCTGAACACTAACAGAATTTATAGCTAAATGAACCCTTTGTTAATATACTCAGACGATGAGATAAAATATATAGATACAAATCCCCAGTAAAATAGTAGTATGCTTTTGATTAAAACTCTAAATCCAACTACCAATTTACAGGAAATGCAGCGTAGAGAGGAACTTGCCAGACTCCTCCATGTGGATGCTATTCTGCAAAATCCAAGCTGTAAAACACTATAAAACAAACAATCCATTGTTTCCTTAACATATGCACTGAAAAAAAATAAAAGCGAGAGAGGGGAAATCTGGATATTAAAAGGGACTTAAAAACAAATTTTAACCAAGTGTTTAAGGGATGCACAGGTAAGTGAAAAATTTTTACAAAAAAAAATGAAAGTAAATTATTGTAAAAGTCACATGAGTTGTTATTTGAGGGGTAATGGGTTTTGATAGTGGGGGGCATATGGAAAACATCTGTTGTGACTGGAAATGTTGTATATCCTGATTTTGGTAGGAGCTTTAATGGTGTTGGCCTTATAACAATCCTTTATAACAATTTATATATGTAGCTCTCTTTACTTGTGTTCTATTAACAATAAAATATTTCTTAAAAGCCTTTATCTGAGGCAGTGGTGCTGACCATGGTTTTTTCAATGTGATCCTGCAGAGAGTCTATGAGTAAGTCGCCCACGGGCTTCCAGCCATTCCGCACAGCCTCTGCCTCCTTCATGTCAGCATCCAGGTCGTCCATAGCTCCTTGCAGGTCTCGGAGTTTCTCCAACGCCTTGTCCACTTGCTTTTGCCAATTACTAGTAACAGAATTTAGACTTTCCCACTTCTCCTTAACTTCAGAAGACTGTTTGCGCATGGCTTTGGCAATCTTTTGGGCTCTCTCCTCAGGAGTCAATTCTGTGATTAAAAACAAAAAACAATGGTTGGAAACCTGATCAACTCTATATCCTTTATAGCCAAGTGTGAAGACCACCTTTCAAAAGGTTGTTACCATGTGTTATATAGATGATGCATTATAGAATTGTACACTTGAAATCTATGTAACTTTACTAACCACTGTCACCCCAATAATCTTTAATAATAATAAAAAAAAGGTTGTTACCAGGGTACACGAAGACAGAATTACACTAAACAGGGGAAGAAAAAAATTTGTCCATACTTCCTCCACTAATCCCCCATTATTTGTCAAAAGAAGAAAATAGTTACTCAGAGCAATAAGCGGCCCAGTGGTTCTGGTGACTTTTGAATTTTAATGTATTTGCAAACCTTGAAATGTCACAATATAAGTCAAGGAATAAAACAATTTTTCTTTAACATAAATTTAGTTATGTTAAATCCAAAGATAGTTTTTCATTTCATTGTCTTCAAGAGAAATGGGAAATATAATTAAGGGAGAAAGGGCTTTAGGATATGAAGAAAAACTGAGAAAATAAGATTAATTTATGTGTTCCTAACCAAAAAAAAAAAGTAACTGAAGACAAATAACGCATCTTAGATACTTCATCATTGCTGAGTCTATTTGGCAATTCATCTTTAATACAGGGCATTTTCTGTAGTCTAGAATGAGTAGCACATCACAAACATTTCAAGAGAAAGGCAGCAAGATTTCAATGACCATCCTAAGTATTTATTAGAGCAAGAGGGTTTCCAGAATGCCTTAAGTACAGTTACATGTTCAGACAGGTAAGGGCAGGCATAATTCAAGGTCCTGCCTCAGGTAAGGGGCAGGAAGAAGGACTAAGAGTCTAGAAGATAAGCAAACGATACAGACAGAAATGGAAGTCAAGTTCCAAGCCAAGGGTCAGAAACAGTGATGAGAAGCCAACAAGACACGAGCAGAGGAATTCGATGGGCACAAAGCAGACACTATCAAAGCAGGTCAGACATCACCACCTAAACCCTTCAGGGCCTCACTACCCTCAACACCCGAGGATGCATTCTTTCGTAACTAGTTGGTTTGATGGCTGTCCTGCTCTTCTACTGGAAACAGAGACACAGGTCAGAAACATACTATCAAGGTATGCTGTCGATCAAGTTAAGATAGGAATGCATGTGATAGCATCCTATTTTTTGTGATAGCATCTTTGTGATAGCATCCTATTTTTTAGTATCAGTCACATCAGCAACATCCACTTCACCTCAAAATATTCCAAATCATCGGAAAATGAACTTGAGTTCATCGAACTTCCTGGTATGATGAACTTCCTGGTAAGATGCACTTCCGGGTAAGATGACGTTTCTAGTGAGATGAACTGAAACAATCTCTTCTAAACTATAACTTTCATACTCAACATAAATTGGTCTGCCTGTCTTTATTTAAATATTAATTAAAATTCAAGTTCAAGGGGACAGAAAACATATTTTTACCAATCTAAATATCCAGACATCAATATGCAGACTTCAAAGCATATATATATATCTGGGAACCAAATAGAGTATGAAAATTCAGGGGAACCAAATAGAGTATGAAAATTCAGGGGAACCAAATAGAGTATGAAAATTCAGTAACCACAGAACTCCGAGTGGCACGACTGAAGTGCCGTGAGGCTATAGAGAGACTTGAACAATCCCTCAGCAACTGAGTTGATGACAAGAAGAAAAAGTGTCAGGATAGGTGAACAGAATAATGTACCAACAAAACATAAATATGGAAAATAAGCGAATTAGAGACCCAGCTTCAAGGAATGCTAAAGCTGGGATATAGTGCAGTACAAGAGTCAGGGGAAGAATCATGCAACTTGGAGAAAAGTCCTCAAACATGCAACTTTACAGAATTCCAAGGTTCCTGAGAAAAAACTTGGTGAGAAAAGGTACGTCATCAGGCAAACCTAATTTAAATCCTTACATATTCAGGATATTTAGAAATGATAATATATAATACTTATATATAATTTATTTTATATGAATATAAATTATGTGTGAGATGGAAAAAATAATTCTTAAATGCCATATTTCCCCATGTATAAGATGCACCTTAATTTTGGGGCCTGAAATTTGAAAAAAATGTATCACATGAAGTTATTGAACTCAAGTTTTCTTCATCACAAAATTCATACAACTCCTCATCACTTGTGGGAAATGCAAGTAAAAAAATCTACAACCACTGTATAAGATGCACCCAGGTTTTAGATCCCAAATTTTTTGAAAAAGGGTGCATCTTATACATGGGGAAATATGGTAGCCTGATCAAGGGCGGTCAGATGGCTCAGTTGGTTAGAGTGTATGTTCTTAACAACAAGGTTGCTGGTTCAACTCCCACATGGGATGGTGGGTTGCGCCGCCATTCCCCCCACCCCCCTACCCCCGTAACTAAATTGGAAAAAAAACCAAAAACCAAAAAAAAACGGGGATTGGACTTAGGGCTGAGCTGCACCCTCCACAACTAAGACTGAAGGACAACAACTTAACTTGGAGCTGATGAGTTCTGGGAAAAACACATTGTTCCCCAACAAATTTTTTAAAACCTGAAAAAACACATTGTTCCCCAATAAATTTTTTAAAAATAATAAAAAATAGCCTGATAAGAAAAGGAGTTGATTATTTTTAGAATGGCAACACCTGTGTTTGTTAATAAGTCACTTGGACTTTTTCAAAGATATATTTTTCAAAGATATATTTTCTTTTATTAAAAAAAAAAGTACAGTACCAATTTCCAAACAGACAACTTAATTATGATGATTTTCCTTGGATAAAGTAAAAATTGTTTCTGAGTCACTGAATAACCTGGCAGGGAAACACACAGTTTCTTTGTCCTATGACAAAATACCCGACACTGGCTGTGACTTTGTCTTCTCTTAATGTAAAATCTTTTGATTGAGAAGTCCTTTTGTAGTATTTATTATATAATCCCCACTCAAACAGCTACTCAGAAAAAAAAAACCTCTATGTTCAATTCACCATCTGTTTACCAGAAAGGAAACATATTAACTAATCACAGAGTCAGAATAAAAGTGCCTCCTATTGCAGCAACAATCTCAGTTTAATGCATACTTTAAACCCAGAACAGAGTGAGGTACATAACCGAACAAAAACTTTCCAGAACGTTTGTGAAACGGGTAATAAGAAGCAACATGTGAATTATCAACTTATGACAATTGGGAGTAAGAAACTAGAAAAACAAAATAAAACAGAAAAAAAGCAGAAAGGATGGAAATAATTACATTTAAAAATCCTCTCGTGATTTGAAAATCAAAGAACAAAGCTTGCTTCAAATTTTGTGAAAAGATATTTTGTGGTGAATTCTAAGGCCCTCATGCAAGGGTGGAGAATCTTCTCCACCAGTGGTTCTGAATTCTGGTGACTTACTAGAAACCACCTGAGAGTTGGTTTATTTTTGTTTGTTTTTTAAATGCGTATCCCCAGGGGCCCTACCCCCAAATATTAGAATATTCTAATTTAGTTGGTCAAGGGTGAAAGGGCTGCATGGATATATTTTAGAAGCTCCTCAGGTGATTGTAATGTGTTGCCAGGACAGCACTACCAGCCCACTGGCTTATAAATTGATTTCTCTGGTCACTCCAGCTGACACTCAATAGAGTATTGCCACACAAGTGACTTGTGTCATTTCCATGCAGAGCAGAGCCACTAAAACTGAAGACAAGAGAGCAGATGAACTCAGTGAGAAGAGTGTAATTCATTTGCATTCGAAAAGGCAGTAATAGAGGCTAATGGAAGACACAGAGGAAATGGCAGGATAAAAGCAAATAAAATTTACTGACAATTCTCAGACCAGAAATGCTTTCCCTGTATCACTCTCCTACTCCTTATAGTGCATGTGTCTGTGGGGGAGAACTGTTTCACTCTCAATTCTTCAATCATTCTGCAATTCTCCTCCCTTCCGGCCTTTCCATTTAACTGGCCAAATACTGAGGGTGGCATTACATTTAATTTCTGTATTTATAGTCTTATATTATAGACTTGATATAATATACTGTAAATATTATTATATATATTTTATATTTATGTAATTTAAAATAGCAGTTTCTTTATTGTGTTACAAAGAGATTTAAGAAAGAATAGATAACTATCTTTTAGGAAGAAGGAAGGCAAGACAGCAGCAGCAGCAGAAAGGAATGATCAATCCTGAAGTTTTCTCTATTGTCCAATTATCTTTATTCTTCAAATATGAAAATTAGTTGCACAGTATTTACACCATGTTTTCTTTTATATCGCGGGGTGAAAGACTGCAATACGGCTCACAGGAATACAGGTAGAAAACCAACCTGGCTGGACCAGGAGCAGAGACTACAATTTGTCATCAGTCCTGCGCCCACCTTGCCCTTTGCTCTGAAGCAAGCTGCCTGACCTGCTCTTCCCAGCTGTACCAAGCAGAGCCCTATTTTCTCATGCTGGGGAAACATTTTACACCTAGGACCTCTTTTACTTCTAAAACTCAATTATATAAGAAAGGCAAAGCCGCCATAAGACATCGTAAACAGTAGAGGAAAAAAAATCTCCCTCTTTGTGCTTATACAAAAATATTATTTTAACTTAAAAAAAGGAAGTATGTACCTTCCATGAAATAATGACAGAAATCTATTAGAATCAGCCCAGTGTTATTTTTAATGAAGATTTCCCCTTTTTTGTATTTTCTTCTCAATTATGGTACTGACAATTGTCTCCATCGCGACTTTTTATTCTCAGAGTGTAAATCCTCATGTATATTTTACTTCTTTCCATCTTGGTTTTGCAGATTTCAATCTAGAGACTGGTTGTCCTCAAGATATAATTACTGAACTGAGTTGGATTGAGTGGAATTTTTAGTTTTAGTCTTTATTGAGAAAGCTCAACTTCATAATTTTAAATAAAAATCTTTCTACTTAATTTTTCCCCCTCCTCACACCCACGTAAAGCATTTATAAAAAGGCTTTTACTGTGAAAGGCAATGTTTTACAGTC